CCCCAAAACCCCAAAACCCCAAAACCCCGTTATCAAAAAATTTCTATGAAAATTCAAATATTTAAATTAATTATTTAATCAATGAATACCCTGCAAAGAGATACTACTTTTGGAGAATAGAAATTCAGAAATCTGCCAGAGGGATTCGGAACTATAAAAAATACAACTTAACTTTAAGAAACTTAGCACAAATTCTCATATAACACAAGATTAGGTCACTCATAAAAAGATCACTATTACTATATCTCTTCTGATAAAAATAAGTCTAATCTCTATCTATAAAAACATGAAATATTCCCAGGTTATGTTCATCATAAACCTTTATCTCTTTAAAAGTAATATTAGTTGATTTATAAAGTAAAATCTATAGATAACCAAACATAGAGAGGACTATTGAAAGTTGCACATCAACAAATAAGAGGCACTTCTTGAATTTAAGTTTATCATAGATTGACTAATTGATGAGTTCTCGAAATTATCTAGCTGTTACAAAGTAAAATTATTCAAAATTTACAACTTCAGGCTAGTTATAGGCGCATTTATTGAAATTTTAAAGAGAAAGCTTAGAAAACATCAAAAAGATCTAGTAATTTCAGACGATACAGTCTTATTAGAAACTTGTGCCATTAAAGGTCTGATTACATATCCAGACTTTATTTCCTTGAGCAATATTCTCTAAGTAAGGTAGAAATATTTAATAAATTTAGTAATATGAGTAAATTACACAAATTAAAGTGACTGTTGCAGAGCAGATACCTTATAATTCTCACAACTATTCCTATTTACCAAATTACTAAATGGGTACTTATGACTTTTCGTCTAAATCTGCATTTAAAAATCAAGTTGAACATCTAGATGAAAAAAATGCTAAGGAAACTCTTAGGATTTTAGTTGATTTTCTGAAAACAGAAACTGACAAGACTCTGAGCAGGACTGGAAAAAAGTCATTGACCTACGAACCTTTTCTGACTAACATTTTAGAATTAAGAGAAAAGTTTCTTGATTGATTGATGAAAATCAAAGTTATAAATTGATTATGTTAATTACTTTTTTATTTTAATATTAATTTAATGACAGAAAAAGCTATTTAACTATCAGCATAAAATTAAAGTACCATTAAAGTTCCAATTCACCTTAACAACAAGAAGAACCTGATTAGTGCTACTAATCCTAAGAGGCTCATGCTGAATTAATCTTGTGTAAAAATAGATATATTAATCTCTGATAGGAAATTAGTGAAAGAAATAGATTAACTGATATTATGCAAACCGATTAAGACGCATCTATAATTTAATTCACATCTCAACTAAAAAAAGTTAGAAAGCTTAAAATTTTGGGTGAAAATTCACAAATCTAAAGCAATGCTGATCAATAATTAACTCATAAATATTCGACTTAAAGAAATAGTCCTGTAAATGATAATAGCCATCAAGATAAGGCCTAAATGAATCCATATTCATATAACTTCCTAAAATTTGTTGAAGAGAGGTGAAAGAATGAAATAAATGCACTTGCAATGCCTATTAATAACTTTAACGGGAATGATTTTCAACTTCAAAGTAATAGTTTCTACAATTCACCAAAGGAATTATTAAGCCCTAAGAATGGGGAGATTGGTTTCAGAAACAATAGAAAAATGGTGAATTCATCAACAGAGATGAGAATCAGATCTATTATTAATGTAGCAAGCATAGAGAAAAACTTTCTGAAAAACTAGTTCTAAAAAGAGGAATTACTCGTGAGTAACTTTGAAGTTTAAACAATTTTCTTAGGTAAGGCTGGAGGAGAAGGATCAAGAGATCAGAAAACTTCAAGAAGTAAATAAATAGCTCTTGAATTAAATTCTTCAAAATAAACTTAGTTCTGAACAGACTATTATTTAGATTTCAAAGGACTCGGTAAGAAAATTCATCAGAAATATATTTTATAGACAAAAAAGCAACCAGCAGAATCCCCTTAAATGAAGCGAAGAATGACTTTAAAAAGATAGAATACCAGGCCATCTAATAGTTTACTAGACTAAGCTAACATTTAATAGATTGAACTATATCAAAATATTGCCGAGGAGACTGAAAATCTAAATGAAATGCTGTCAAATTTGTGCAGAGAATCATAGGCAAAGACTTAAATTCTTAAGGATAAAATATAATTCTTAAAAGATAAATTATCTGACGCCTTAAAACAAAGAACAGACTTCTAAAAGTTATACACCGACGAAGTCGTTAGAAATTCTAAAGTATTTATTACAAGTTGATTATTTCTATAGATCTAAGAATCACTGAGTTCTCAAAACCAAGAAGTAAGAAGACTCAGAAATGAAATTGACACTTATGTTAAAATGACTTTGGAATACAAGGAGAGATTAAAAGACGCTAAGACAAATCTTGATAGATGCAAAAAACAAATAGAAGGCTATTAATCTACTTATCAAGATATTGACTTAGATGCTCTTCATGAGAGAATGCAATTCTTGCAAACAAAAAATATTAGTTTCTAGCATAAAATTGGCTTTTTAACTCAGCAGATAAATGGATTTGCGAAGCAAGCTACTGGCAGATAGAGTATTCTTTTCAGATAGAATAATCTTTACGAAAAGCTACTGGCAGGAATGGACAACACCATGCAGGAGTTTAATGATGAAGATGAAGATAACTAATCTGATGATAATGCTCAAGTCTTTTTGTAAAATGATGAACAAGATACAACTAATCTGCCGCCTGAAAAGCTTTAAGAGTTTGTTGCTGGATAAAAGCTATTATCCTAAGCACTAGCAAAAAAAGGCCTAAACTTAAGCTATGAATTAAAGTTAAATGGTAAAAATAACAAACAATTCAAAGATCTAGAGATGTAGATAATGTGAGTTAAAAATTATTCTAAATGTTCTAAATGAATGACAGTATTATGTATTTTCTTTGATTATTATTACATTTTAAATATTTAATATTTCAAAAAATTTTCATTATTTCATCTCGAGGGGTTTTGGGGTTTTGGGGTTTTGGGG